CCTCCTCCTCCTCCTCCTCATCCTCCTCCTCCTCCTCCTCCTCCTCCTCCTCCTCCTCCTCCTCCTCCTCCTCCTCCTCCTCCTCCTCCTCCTCCTCCTCCTCCTCCTCCTCCTCCTCTCCTCCTCCTCCTCTCCTCGCTCCTCCTCCTCCTCCTCCTCCTCCTCCTCCTCCTCCTCCTCCCCGCGAAGAGCACGGGGCGGCCGTCCGAGCAGTAGCCGGCCGGGTCCCAGAAGCCCGTCGGAGGCTGAACGCCCAGCTCGTTCTCGAAAGCCCTCAGCGCCACCACGCTGGCCCTCGCGGCCGCCGCTGGCGCCGCTCTCGCGGCGACTTGCACATCGACGACCGCGCCGTCGGCGTCGGTGTCGTCTTCGTCGGCGTCGTCGGCGTCGGCGTCGGCGTCGTCCGCGTCGTGGTCGGCGTCGGCGTCGGCGTCGGCGTCGGCTTCGGCGTCGGTGTCGGCATCGTCGTCGTCGTCGTCGTCGGCGGCGTCGTCGTCGTCGTCGGCGTCGGCGTCGGCGTCGGCGTCGGCGTCGGCGTCGGCGTCATCGTCGGCGTCGTCGTCGTCGGCGTCGGCGTCGTTGTCTGCATCCAAAACGTCACCAAAAAACTCACGGCTGGCGTCTTGCAGTCGCGGGTCGACCCAGCTCGCAGAATCCGGATCGGAGCTGACGGGGTCTGCCAGTCGTGCCTTTCCCCCACCACAACGCGTGCGGTTCTTTTCCACGCCAGATGTCGGAGTCCCGCGTTTTGCCCCCCCCCCCCCCCCGCTCCTGCGATGCGCGCTGGCGCCTCCGGCACGGACGGCGGAAGCAAGAGCATCGTTACAGGAGCGAGGCACGCGCACGAGGCACCGGGCAGCGGTGGCGCGGACTTCGCGGACAGCGAGAAGGAGAGCGCGGCGGGGCGCTGTCTCGCGCAGCCGCCAGCAGCGCATGCCAGCGGCGACGAAGAGCGGCGGCACGCACGCGCGAGAGCGCGGTCGGGCTGGGAACGCGCGAGCACCAGCGAGGCACGGGAGCACAACCGCCGTCAAGGAACGCCTCGAGTCCGGCAAGGCAACACGGTCATGTTGCAGACAGGGGCAAGATCCATCATCACCGTGAGACCCTGCAGGCGCGCGCCAGGGCCCAGAGGCGCGCCTGCGCGGCGCACGTCGAGGTAGCACGCACCTGCGACCGAGACTGCCGTTCCAGGGCCTTCGCCAGCGCGTGCTGGGGCAGCTGCTCGCCCTGAGACGCGCGCGCGCGCGCGCCTCCTCACGGAGCACGCCCGGGAACGGGTTCAGCGGGTCAAGTCCACGGCGGCGCGCCAGGGAATGCGCGCACGCCTCCACGGGAAATGCGCCGGCCGGGCCAACCCACCCACACGCGGGTCAAGGGCTCTCTCTCTCTCTCTCTCTCTCTCCCGGGGAGCAGCGCACGCACCAGGCAGCAGGGCGGCGGCGCGGGGCTGGCCGTGCCCTCCGCGGAGAGCGCCGGGGGGGCGCCCCTGGCAGCGCTTCCCGTGGGGCCCGCCTGCGCCACGCCGCGCTGCGGATCCGCCCCAACACTGCAAGTCAGCCATCGCGTGTGCGCGCCATTTCGGGGCGTGCCAGGGGAGAGCTTTTACGGGCGCCTCGCGCGCGGGAGTCGCAGCTCGAGGCGCGGGGCGTGCATTTTTGGCCCAGGGCGCCAGGCCTGCGGCGTCCCCCGTCCGTCCAGGCAGGATCGGTGAGCACCGAAGCGGAAATCTGGATCGGGCTGCATCGGCACGGACGTAAGATCGGATCATCGGCCACGCCTGGCTGCACCATCGCGCCGTGCAACTGGGCCACGTCGGATCGCTGAAAACCGACGGTACACCAGCATAGGGGCGCGAAACACCAACGCTGCATGAGAGGGCACACGGCGTCCCAAACCTGGACACGGCACGGGCATGGCACGGTACGCGGGCACGGCACCGCACGCGCACGGCACGGCACGCGGCCACGGCACAGCACAGCACAGCACCTGCTTTGCATTCCGACTTTCAAGAACTCGTTCCGTCGGCGGCGAGGCAGAGGCAGCCCGCTCCAGCGTGCTGCTGTTCGGGGCACCCGAAAGGAGAATTGGCCGGCGTGTTAGAGGGGGGTGAGCGAGAGCGGCCGCAAGGGGGGATGGGGAAGGGAAAGGAGGAGGAGGAGGAGGAGGAGGAGGAGGAGAGTTTCAAAAACACGCGGGCACGGCACGGCACGGCAGGGGAACTTTTCCCATGCCGGGTCGCAGGAGCACGCCGGCACGGCAGGGCGCAGACCGAACCGCCAGGAAGAGCACGCGGGCACGGCACCTCACGCGCACGGCACGGCACGCGGGCAGCACGGCACGGCACAGCACCGTTCTTGCAGCCTGAGTCTCAGGAACGCGCGGGCTCGGCACGGAGAGGCGACCGCATGTTTGCAGTCTTGGCTTCAGGAGCGCGCGGGCACGGCACTGGACGACACGGCACCTTTTTGGCTTTCTGGGATTGAAGAACTTTTCTGTCGGCGGCGTCTCGGATCCGAGCTGCGGTGAGACTCCAACAGGGACACCGCTGCGCTAAACAGGCACAGAAGCGGCGGGGCGGCGTGAGGAACAGGAGGGGTATAGGAGGGGCAGGGCCGCGGGCGGCCGGAGAGAGCCCTCAAAACGTGAAGCGCTTCGGGTTGTGCCAGAGCAGGCTCAAGAGTCCTCGTACGTGGCGGCGCGTCCGAGCGGTCGGCACGTCCGCCCAGGAAAACGAGGCGAGTCGCGCAAAGCACAGGATGTGGGGCACAGGAACGTGGGGCCCACGGCTGGCCAGGGCACGTTCCGGGGAGAAGAGCTATCCGCGACAAGGACGCCACGCGAAAGCAATCCCAGGCGGCATTCTCTGTGGCATCCAAGGATACCGCCCGCCGCTGCACTGGCCCAAGGACGGCCAAGAACGGCGAGCGGCCACCGGGTGGCAAGCTGCGTTAAGGCGCGAAAGACCAGGCAGGGACGACACGGCACGGCGCTCGGGGGCACATTTTTCGCCTTCCGGATTTCAGAAGCGCGCTCTTCAAATGCAACCGAGACCCCTTACGGACACGGTGCTTAGGGAATCAGATCGGATCGAGCCCAGCGGACTCCAAATCGAATGGGATCGCGCAAATCGACACAGGCCCCGCCAGGCCGCCCGCGCCACGCGCATCCAAGTTCCTGACATAATTCGCAGCGTGCCGGGCCCAGCGAGCGTCAAGCCTGGCCTGCTGCAGAGTGCACCAGGTACCGCCCCTCTTGGGCGTGGCTTAGTGGGGGGGTCATAAATGGGGGGGTCAGAAACGGTCCCCTTTCGTGCCCCTTTCGGGACCCTCCGGAGCCCCAGGGGGCTCGTTTAGGTACCGTTTGGGTACCTTTTCGGACCACTCTCGCCACCCCCCCATGTATAACCCCCCCATTACGCAACGCCCAACCCTCTTCGCCCAGCCGCACGCCGGGACCCCGGACCTCCCATGTCGCGAGTTGTTCCTCGCGCGGGCCCCAGGAGCATCGGGCACCAGAAGCGTCTGAAGCCCTTCCCGTGGCCCAGTCCCTGCTCCCCCGATGTTTTTCTGACGGCCCCGCGGGCGTGGAAGCGGTCCCTGGACGCTGGGGACGGGGAAGGGCCGCTGCACCGTTTGCTCGGCACGCGTGGGGGGCCGGGCCCCTCCTCGCCCAGCCGCAGGCAGTGACGCCGGCGCGACCTGCCGAGGGCGGCACAACGAGCACGACGAGAGCACAGACCGGGGACGCGTCGGGACGAGAGACTTCGCGCGGGGGCAGCGGGCCCTGAGCGAGGCGGGCCCTGGGGCCTGCCCGCAGGACCACTCGTTCACCCCGAGTCGTTTCCTGAACAAAAAAAAAAAAAAAAAAAAAAAAAAAAAACGTGGAGGGCCCCGCAAGCCCGACGGCGGCGAGGAGCCTCGGGCCCGGGTGCCCCCCCCCCCCCCTGGCGCGCTCGAGGCCGAGAGCCTCCAAAGGAGCCGGCGGGCCCGGGGGGAGGGCGTGTCTGAAGGGGCCCCAGGACACACAAAAATCAATACACACAAATAAAAACATTCCCCATATTTTCCCATATTTTCCCATATTTTCCCATATTTTCCCAAAAATCAAGACACACAAATAAATACACACAAATAAAAATGTTCCCCATATTTTCCCATACTTTCTGGGCTTTTGTCTTCCCCCCCCCCCCTTCCCATAGTTTCCCATATCTTCCTGGGGATCGACGACTGATCGTGTCTGTGTGTTTTCTCCCCTCCGGCGTGTCGGGCGCCGCGGCCGTTCTGGAGAGAGAGGGGCCCCGGGCGCACCTGCAGCGGCTCGTCGCCGTCCCGGCCACCGGGGCCCGATCGAGCTGCGGCGGCAGGCGGTGCGCACGCGGGGAGGGAGCGGGGGCGGGTTGGGCGTGGCTTAATGGGGGGGTCACAAATAGGGGGGGCAGAAAAGGTCCCCTTTCGTGCCCCTTTCGGGCCCCTCCAGAGCCCCAGGGGGCTCGTTTAGGTACCATTTGGGTACCTTTTCGGACCACACTCGCCGCCCCCCCATTTACGATCCCCCCATTACGCAGCGCCCAAGCGGGGGCGGCGGAGGGGAGCTCCGGGGGCTGGCGCTGGGCGACTCCGGCCCCGTGCCCAGGCCGCTGGCGCCCTGGAGCAGGGAGCGCGGGGTCCCGAGTTCGCGCCCAGAGCCGGCTAGCTCAAGAGCCCGCGCGCGCACGGGGGAGCGGCCAGAACCTGCCCGAGACCCTCGACGGGATCAAAGGACGAAGCGCCAGGGAGCACCCCGTGGAGCGCGGTGCCACAGCGGTGCAGGCTGCCGCCGGGAGGAGGCCCAAACAGACACGAGCGGAGCACGGCAAATTCGCCCCGTGGCGGCTTGCGCGATCGCGTCTTTCTGATAGCGCAGACCGTTCGATATCGGCCGATCCTGGGCCTCTGGCAGCGTTCCATGCTGAACGCCCGCGCTGGGGTCGCCGCCGCGTCAACGCGGCGCGATCCAACCGTACAGAAGCAAACAACGGCATCGTGTCAGAAATCCGCGAGGATTTCTTGGGTCAGCGCTGGACTCCCCTCCCCTAAGGGGAACCCAAAACGGGAAAAAAAAGCTCGGGGGGAAACAATGACCTGGAATCGACACTGCCTCGTCGATGGATCGGCGATGGGCCCCCACTCGGAAAGCCCCACGTCCCTGGGCCAGTCGGGGCACCTGGGGACCCGATCGGCGAGGAGCGGACGACTTGGGCTCGCTGCGCCCTCCCCCCCCCGCCTGGGCCAGACCCCCTGCTGCCGCCCCTCTTCCCCACACCCTGGCGGCGCCTCGGGCGCCGCCCCCCGCACGCTCTGTGCGCCAGGGAGGGAGGTGTGGGGAGTGGGTATCGTTTGACCGATCCCAATCCCCAGCGGCGTGGCCTGGGCCCCACTGGCCGATTGACCCCCCTGGATGAGGATACAGGTCGTTCCCCTCGGGCTTCGAGGAGTGCATCCCCGACTGGGGTGGTAGTTTGGTGGGGGGGTCTCGAAGGGGATGAGGATGGGGATGTGGATCGGTCAAACGATACCGAGGGAGGGGAGGGCAGGGGCTGGGCGCCGACCCGAGACATCCGCGCGGACCTCCGAGGCGCTTCTGCCGCCGCGGTGCGCGGGGCCGACGAGGCGAGAGGGCGGGAGGCGCGGGGGGTGCGAGCTGCCGCCCGGCGCCTCCCGACGGCACCGGAAGGCAGCAGCTGCGCACCGGCATCGGCGGCGGCGCGCGGCCCAGACCTCCGACGTCGTGGCTTTCTCGGTCAAGGCGGGGCCCCCCGAGGTCTCGCCCCCGTCCCGAGGGCAAGGTAAGCTCCTGGGCCGGTGCTGAGTCGATCTGCTTTTACCAGTCGCGCCAGCAGAGCTGGGGAAAGGGGCCCTGACCAGTCGCGGAAAGCAGCCGCCAGAAGCAGTCGAGATCTGGTCTATGGGGGGGAGGGAGGGGGCCAGGAGCCCGCCCCGAAGGGCGAAACAGTGAATTGAAAAAATGGCGACCAACGTTTCCTCCTGGATCGTTGCTTGACCCCCAATGGCTCGAAAACCAGCCCCGAGAGGCTGAACACGAGAGGTAAAAACTCTGGCCGGACTATCCTCAGGTCGCTGGAACCTTGGGCTTCTGGGGGTCTCTGCAAGGCCCGGAAAGCCTCCGACGACGACGACGAAGCCGACGACGCCGACGCCGACGCCGACAAAGACGACGCCGACGAAGACCGACGACAACGACGACGACGACGACGACGACGACGACGACGACGACGACGACGACGACAACGGACGATGACGACGACGGACGACGACGGACGACGACGACGACGACGACGGACGACGACGACGACGGGCAGCGCCGCTGTCGCGCCTCTCCACGTCCGAGGCCGCGGGCGAGGGGGCCTGCTTCCTCGCGGCCGGGGGGGGGGGGGGCGCAGGGCGCGCCGCGAGGGGGGGCAGGGGCGGCGGCACCCTCGGGCTCGGGGGGGGGCGGGGGAGGGGGAGCCGGGAAGGCTTCGACGCCGAGGGGCGAGGGGGAGGCGAGGAGGCCTTCGTCGTCGGAGGGGAACGGGGGAACTCCTCGTCGTCGCTGGGGGGGGAGGGTGGGGGAGGAAGTCCTCGTCGATTGTGGGAGGCTCTTCTCGCCTCGGGATGCGTCCCAGCTGCTGCGCCTCGTCGAGGGCTCTCCAGGGGATTGCCCAGGGCAGTCCCCGCACGGCAGCCGGACCCGAGCTGACCCGAAGACCACCCGGCGTCGAAGCGGGCGGCGAAGCGTCCTGGTGGCAAAGCTCGAGGATCGACAGTCGAGGCTTTGAGCTTCGCGCGAACTTCGAACCTCGAACTTCGCGTAGGCTTCGACCGCTCTGTGCATCCGCCAGCGCTGCGACGAAACGAAAACATGGGAGAGAAAATACGGCTACAGAGGAAAGCACAGCTGCTACGTGCAACCAGCGGTGCCCTTGTCTGCGAAGATGAGCGCTCGCAGGCAAGCAGGCAAAATACTGCAGCCGAAGACAGGACTCGAACTTCGCCCCTCCCGGGAGGCCCCAGAGGGCCCCGAAGTTTGCAGGCTGCGGGGGCTGCCCCGGGAGGCTCCCCGCCGCCCAGGGCGCCGAGTTCCCTCCGAGATCCTGGCCAGAACGATTTCTGTTTTTTGACCCCGAGCCCAGCCCTCACCGAGCCCAGGGGCCGTCCAGAAACAGCTCGGGGTGGCGAGCCGGCCCCGGTGACGGGGTCCGGACTTCTAGGGGTCCACGATGCGGAAGAATCACTGCGTCAGCACCGGATCGGAGGGGGATTGGCTGACCCCCGTTAACGCGTTCACGCTGAGCCCCGCGAGCACATGAGCCCAGACCAAGACATCCCACGCCGTGATCTGCTCAGCCCGCGGCCACAAAGCTCCTCCCGATCCTGGGCACGGCGTTCCGTCCTGGGCCCGCTTTTGCTATGGCCGTGGCCCGACATGAAATTGCCGGGGGGGTCGAAATCAAGAAAAGGTCAGGGGCTGGGGAAGAGTCACACGACGTCGGAGGTCTCGGGGCCTGCCTTGCAGCCAGGCGACGGCGCAAGAGGCGGGGTCGGTGGACAGAAATCGGTCCCTGGATCTCTCCAGGGGTGAGTTCTGGCCAGGACTCTCGAGGCGGATCCAGCCGCGGCGACGAGGAGCCCCCCAGAGGCCCGGAGAGAGCAAGCCTCGTACAGCCCGAGCCACGAGCCTCGACGGCGACGTTGGGGGGCCCCCGCTCCCCCTCGCACCGACCGGCTGGGCGGCGACGCGGCGCCACCCTTGGCCCGCCCCGGCGCCGGGCGCCGACCTCGCGCCGAGCGGTGCGGCGCCGAGGGGCCCCGCCCCCAAGGAGCGGCGGCCGCCAGCCGCCGCCGCCGCCGCCGCCGTCGTCCTAGTCGTCGTCGTCGTCGTCGCCGCCGCCAGGGGGGCTCCTCCTCCTCCTCCTCCTCCTCCTCCCTCCCTCCCTCCCCCTCCCTCCCTCCCTCCTCCCTCCCTCCCTCCGCCTCCTCCTCCTCCTCCTCGTCCCCTCCTCCTCTCCTCCTCCTCCTCCTCCTCCTCCTCCTCCTCCTCCTCCTCCTCCTCCTCCTCCTCATCCTCCTCCTCCTTTGGAAGCGAGGGCGGCAGGCGAGAGGGGAGCCGCGTCCTGCGGCGGCGGCCCAGCAGGGCCACGGAGGCCAGGCCCGCCGCGGCGCAGAGGGCCGGGGCGGCCGCGCCACCGGCGCCCGCGGGCCTCTCCGCGGCGGGGCGGGGCGGGGGGGGGGGCTCGGGCCCTCTTCTGGAAGACTCTGCAGAAAACTCTTCTGGAAGCCTCTTCGGGAGGACTCCAGAAGACTCTGAAGACTTTTTTGGGAGACTCCCTTGGAAGCCTCTGGGGGGCTCTTTTGGGGCCTCGGGCCCTCTTTTGGCATCCCCCCTCGGAGTCGAGCGCGCAAGTGTTCCCCCTCGAAGTGGCGGCGCCCCTGGACCCCACAGAGATCTCGAGGTTCGTGCCGAGGAATCGGCGACGGCTCGCACAGAACAGCCTGACCCCGCGGGCCGCGCCCCGCGCGTCGGCCGACCTGAGAAGCCTGCGCTCGACCACGAGGAGGGCTGCACGGCAGGTTCGCGTCGTGTCGACCCCGGCGTCGGGTCCTCGGACCCGCGGGGATCGTTCTCGGGAGCGGCCAAGAGGGGGGTGTCCAAGAGGGAGGGGTGCAAATCATGACCGGCGCCATGTGCGCGGCCCAGCGGGGGGGCCAGGGACGCAATGAAATAAGAAGAGGCGCCATGAAATCTCGGAAATATCATGGCCCCCGCCATGATATCCACCCCCCCCTAGTCATCACCCCCCTCTTCTCCGCCCCCGACGTCCCACCTGGAGCCATCGGCCGTTGCCGAAACGTCCGATGACTCCACGCCGGCCGACTTCCGCGGCCGCGGGGCGGCGCTCGGCGCGCGCAGCGCCCGCGCCGGGGCCGCCGCCCCGTCGCCACGCCACGCGAGCCCTGCCGCGCCTCGCAGGGTGCAGGCGACCCCGGGATCGACGTGAGCCGCATCGGCGCTCGAAAGGAATCGGACCGGCAGAAATCGGCAGCCGAGTCGGCTGGAGGCGAATCGGCGGCAGTCGGCAGGCTGGCGGGCCTCCACTGAGAAATCGGATCCCAGATCGGAGCCCGGAGTCGCATCGAATCGGGATCGGAACTTCATCGAAGTCGAATCGAATCGGATCGGAGGAATCGAAACGAGCCCAGAGGGTGGGGTGTGGGGGGTGTTCGTGTTAGGAGGGGGGAGGCATGCACCTCTGCTCCATGACTCGACCTAAACAGTGTTCCGCCTGTACGGCAAAATGAAATCGAAACGGAAACGGCCCACGGAATCGCCAAACACCGTCTAGGTGCACCCCTGCTCTGCTCATCCCACGCCTCTGCCTCACTCCCCTCCTCCTCCGTCCGCCCCTGCTCCTCTCTGCCCTTGGCAACCTTTGCCACAAGCCTTCGGCCGGCAGCCCCTGGCACCCTCGGCACCTCCCGATTGTGTGCATGCCTTCTTGGCGGGGACCATCGAGGAGCCTCTTGGATCAGCTTGCGAAAAAATGGCGCACGCAACCGAGAAGTGCATCGGGAGTGGACGTCCGAGCGAGGGAGAGAACCCTGCCAGGCAGCCCTTGGCACTCTACCCGGCAGCCCCACGGCGACGGCGCGCTGCGGGGTCCCTCGGGCCAGGCGCGCGTGCCGCAGCAGAAGCGAAGGAAACGGCAGTGCAGCACGATGGCTCCGAGAGGGCCCCGAGGGAGCGCCGAGGGCCTCCTGACTGGCCCAGAGATGGCCCAGGCAGGCTGCCAGAGCTCCTCCTCATCCTCCTCCTCCTCCTCCTCCTCCTCCTCCTCCTCCTCCTCCTCCTCCTCCTCCCATGCAGAACGATCTCAGCGGAGGTAAGTGTGCTCTACTTCTAGGTCAGCTCGGGCTGATCCCGAACTTCGGTTTTGAAGGGGCCCTGGGACACACAAATAAATACACACAAATAAAAATATCCCCCATATTTTCTGGGTTGTTGTCTTCCCCCCCACTTCCCATAGTCTCCCATATTTTCTGGGGAATCGACGATTAATTGTGTCTGTGTGTTTTTTGCCCTCCTGAGGTTTGACGGCTGCCCCCCCATTCTTTGTTCCACTCCGTGTTCCTTCGCTTCGCTGATCGAGGCAACCCGCCGAGGCATCTCTTCTGGATGGGCTAGTGGGGATACACGAAGCGTCACGCCTTGGGGGGAACACCCAGGCGAGATCACGATTGCTGAAAGGCTAGACAGCACGTCCTGAGTAAATTGCGAAGATGTCACAGGCTAGAGCGCGACTCCAGAAAAAATGCTAGGACGTCTCAAGCCAGAACGCGTTTCCTGGCAAAACTGTGAGGAAGCCTCAGGCGGGAGCCGTTGTTGAAGACTGGAGGTCAACAACACAGTTTGAGCAGGAAAACTTCCCCTACAAAACAAGTGCGACCGTCGAGGGGCGCACTTGAGCGTGGAGGAAAATAAAATCGTATTGGCGTGGGCGGTCAGCAACAAATACTACTCAGGAGTGAAGCCCCTCATCATCGTCATCATGATCAGCAGCATCATCATCAACATCATCAGCTGCAGCATCAGCATCATCAGCAGCAACAGCAGCATCATCATCATCATCATCATCATCATCATCATCATCATCATCATCATCATCATCATCATCATCATCATCATCATCATCATCATTATCATCACAACGATCACTACCACAACCACCACAATCATCATCATCACCATCACCGCCACCATCATCATCATCATCATCATCATCATCATCATCACCACCATCATCATCATCATCATCATCATCATCATCATCGTCGTCGTCGAGTTAGTCATCATCGTCATCAGCATTTTCAGCATCATCATCATCAGCATCATCATCACAAGCATCGTCATTACAATAATCGTCATGATCGTCGTTAGAGTCATCACCATCGCCATCGTCGATGTCGTGGCCATCATCATTAGCAGCAGCATCATCCGCAGCAGCATCGGCAGCATTATCATCATCATCATCATCATCATCATCATCATCATCATCATCATCATCATCATAATCAGTTTCATGATCTTCATCAGCAGCAGCATCATCACTATCATCATAATCATCGTCATTAGCATCATCGTCATCCTAATCATCATCATTCTCAACATCACCATCGTCATCATAATACCATCAGCAGCATCCTCATCGTCATGAGCATCATAAGCAGCAGCATCATCATTATCATCAGCATCAGCATCAGCATCACCATCGTCCTCATCGTCCTCATCAATCGTCTTCCTCTTCCTCATCATCATCATCATCACCATCATCGTCGGCAGCAGCAGCAGCATCGTCATCATCATGATCCTCCTCATCACCACCACGATCCTCCTTCTGCTCCTCCCCGTTGTCGTCGTCACCGACATCGGTTTTTCTGTTCCTAACCATCCTCCTCACCACTTACATCATCGTCATTGTTAGTGTCGTCAACATCAGATTCTGATATCATGACCCTTTATCCTCATCATCATGATAGCTCCTGCCCGTGAACAAAGCTCATTGGTTTGCGCTGGCAAAGAAGCAGTTGCGGCAGCACCGCGTCCGTGGCCGCCCCCGGCCCCCCCATTGAGGAGCCCGGATGACCCCAGTGCTCTCCGAAGTCCCCGAACCGAAGCCCCCAAAAAGGGCCCAAGATGTCCCGAACGGCCCAAAAGATGCGAAAAAACATCCTCCACAGTTCGTCCTCCCCCACTCCCCTCTTCCCCCCAGCGCAGCCAACCAGTCTAGCGAACCCAAGACTCTGGCCAGCGGGCTTACGCGCCGAGAAGAGTCACCCTGCCAGCGTTCCATCTTCCTCCTCCTCCTCCTCCATTTCCTCCTCGTCTTGGCTACACGTAAGAGGCTACACGCAAGAGCGAGCCTTGGCATGACCTTTAATGTGCGGTCTAGGGGGGCCGCTTGGAGGCCAAATCCAAGCGCGCCAACCAGTGCTGGCGAGTACTGGGGGGACCCCTGTGGGCCCTCACCCAGGGCGGTATGACAGGTTTGCCCTGATGTCAACAAAAAATACACAAACCTGGATCGTGCCCTGTCGACGATGCGTCGGCGGTTCTAGGATGATCTTCGGCCTGCCTTCGTGAGGAACCAGCCGTAAGGCCTTTCCAATCAGAAGCTGGATCGCGCCTCATCTCCGATGCATCGGCGACGCTGCGCGATGCACCGACCCAGTCTGTTCCTACGAGGGCGCGCCGCTGGATGCGCCAAGGAGAGGGGTCCGGGACCAACCCCCGTTTCTTCTCGTCGCTGGACTTGACAGCGTCTTGTTCATCGCTGATGTGGCCGCCCATCGCACTGAAGACGAGCTCCCGGCACATGCTGCCCTGGGTTGGGGGGTCGGCCCGCGCGCACCGAGCGCTGCGCCAGAGCTGGCCTTTTGAAGGCGCGGAAGACGGGCACGCCGTCGCTGACGAGGCCCGCAGAGATCGCGCACCCCCCTTTCCCTCCTCAATGCCCTGATTTCCCCGGCAGAAGCAGGGCCGCGCACTAGCTCGCGCAGCGTGAAGATGCGCCCGCAGCCCATTGGCTGAGCCGCGCGCTGCGAGCAGCTCGAAGACGATCGAGGATCTGCGCGCAAACTTGTGCGATCGGCTCGATGCGTCCAACATGTAGCACACCTGTTTGCCGGCGTGGCGGCACTTGCCAGCGCGCGTGCGCCCGGCCCCTTTCACGCCGCATCCTGTCACCTCCTTCATGGATGGCCCGTCGCTGCGCGCGCTGAGTCGCCCGGCGCACTCCAAGGCTGGAAATTCGGCGCGCGCCGAAAGGACTGAATTGAGCTGCACCACGCGCCGGATGAGCAGCCTGCGCCCGGCTCGTTGCAGGACGACCATGCGCGCGACCACGCGGCGCCGGGCGAGCAGGGCACACGCCGCTGCTCCCAGGAAAGAAACACAGAGGTCTGGAAGCTGACCTCCGGCCGGCTGCTCAGACTTTGCCATGACCAAGTCGACATGTCCGATCAGCGCCAAATCGTCGATGTACACGTCCTGGTCGAGCGCCGCGGCGCCATCGGCACTGCGGCGCCGTTGAAAATCGCCGTCGGTGAAATCACCGCGGGCGATTTGCCGGCGACGCTCTCGACATGGCCGATAAACCAATGGACGCGCCCCCCGTGTCCAGCGAACTTCAGATCGTCGACGCGCTTGGACAACATGAGCATGAGCCCCGAGAGGCCCGCGCCACGGGCACCCGACGCCTCGCGCTCGACCTCATACTCCAGGCCCCACCGGGCGGGTCTGGCGCCGCACTCTGGCGAACGCGCTACCCGGGCAGGCTTCGTGGAGTAGGCTCGGGGCGCATACTCGCAGCCTGCGCCCAGCTCGACGCAGCGCAAGCACTCGGCCTGCCCGCCGTAGCCCTCGCAGCTGGGCAATCGCCTGAAAACGGCTGCACTGCCGGGCGGCAAGGCGAAGATCACCTCGCGCGGCGTCTCATCTTGTTCCTGCATGTCGGCGTAGGCCACGCCTTGAAGAAACGCCCGCTCGGCGCCCATAGCGACGCACCCCCAGTTCGGGCGACGCGCCAACCCGAGGAGAGCGGGCGCGCACGACGCCCGCTTCGCTGCCCCAGCGAACTCATCCAGGGCCCCGGCGCCCTCGTCGCGAGAGCCACTCAACGCCGCACGACGCCGGGCGACCTGGACAATCTCGTCGCCTGATCCCTTCCGGCGTCTCCACAGGAAAACACGCATGGAGTCAATTGCGCCTCGGGTGCCCTTGGGCGGCCGGCTCTCCAAGATATGACACTGGACCCAGATGACGAGCTAGCTCTTGGAGGGCGGCCGCCGCAATCTCCCACGACAGCCTCGACACTTCTGCGTTGGACGGATGGCCAGTTTCGCGCTTAATGACCGCGGTCTCAACGGCGGCACACGCGTCGCGCGCGGCTGTCTGGGGAGCGCCAGCAACACAGTCACCAGACGCTCGGTCGTCCAAGCTCAAGAATGCTTCGCGCACCCCTGGGCGAAGATACAACTCCACGCGCCTTCCCCCTTCCCCCGCCTCCCCGAGCGCGGCGCAGTCGTCCGGGGAGGATCCGCGCAGTCAGTTGTGGCGCTTCGCGCGGATGCTCTGGCGCTGACGCCGCGCCTCAAGGTGCTCGGGCCACGCGCGGGGCCTGCGGCCTCGGCCGGCCGCGGCGTTCTCGACGGCAGCGTAGACCTCCCACTGGCCCCAGACGCTCTCCAGCTCCTCGAGCGCCTGGGCCAGGTCTTGGGCAGCTTCGCCGTCACGCCAAGCTGCCAACATCACCTAGTGGACGCGGCCGGATAAGCCGCTGTCGGGTTCCTCGGGCATAGCCGACAAGGCCGATGGTGAACCACTCTCGGCGGCGCCGGGCGACGCAGTCATCGAACGATCCGCCTCGGTCGCGCCCGGCAACTGCCACCGGCGACGGCTCGTCACCGCAGATCAACCGAATGGCGCGAGCGTCCTTCCAATGCTCGCCGATAAGCTGATGGGGGTCGAGATTGATGACGCGGAGGCGGATCTGCCAGACGTCGCTCGGCCCCCTGCGGGCGCAGCCCAGCCAGTGGCCCACGCATTCCTGGCCGCACATCAGACGCACGGCACGAACGTCTTACAGGCGAAAGCATCTGCGGGGCATATGGCGCGGGGCTTCAAGGACGTTGGAGCGCTGCCGGCCCTTCGCGCCCTCCCAGTGGCTGGAGGGCCCTGGCCCCAGAGCCTGGCGCGACGTGTTCCAGGTAGTCCTCCACGCGGTCCAAGGCCAAGCCTGCTCGCGCCACGCCGATGCCCACGCCGTCGAAATTGGCATCGATGGAGGCCAGGACGCATCGCAGTCCGCATACCATCCCGGCTCGGCGGTACTTGACCGCCACCTTGCCTCGGGCCGCGCCCACAGAAATGGCCATCCCAGGGCGGGCCGAGCCCGACGCGCCA